AAGAATACTGGTAACAGAAGCATGATATGCCCATGTGACCCTTTCCAATAATTCTGTTTGTTTATTTAAAGTACCCGGTAACCGATGTCATATCTGAATATAAGGTGTTTCCACAAACTTAATCCATACCATCGATTCTAGAGCTCAGAAGTACAATCATACCAAGCTTCAGACACTAACACTAAATAAGTGTAACTGACATTTTTGGGATGTCAAAAGGGTTCAATCTAATACTGCTTCATTGGATTTATCCCCCGTGATTAGCCAGGGTAATTTTAAGGCAGGGTCTCCTTGAAGCAGCTGGTGACTACCTCACTGAACAACATATGAGAGGTCCATCACATGCCATCAGGAGTCACAAAGGTAAAATGTCATACCCAAGGACACGACCACCTCAGCATAGACCTGTCCTTTTCTTCGCTTTTTGAGAGAAACAAACTGCCAGGTTTGAGGGGCATCAAACAATGCTTATTGGATCTTCGCTAAAAGCTAGGTATGCCAAATTGCTTTAACTGACTTAGATATCATAGCACTTTTGATACTAATAGAATGAATGAAGTGTTACATTTATAAACAAGAGGAAGTGATTGATTATAGGGCAAAATATTTTGATGGTTACTAACATTTAATGATATCAAGTAATATCCTAATTATATCAATTACAGCAAAATTAGTCATTGTTTTAATGAAACTCACCTCCTCCTCATTTTTGTAGAAGTAGAGCATACGGTCAGTGACATTGAGATGGCACCTGATAACATCTCCGACTGCGAAGTTCTTGCGTGTTGTCTGCTTTGGGTAACCACTCTCAATGAAAATACTGTCGAAGCAAATGTTGAACAAAAATCAGACACATGAACCAGATAGTTTGTATTTTGTGATACAGGAGGATTAATAAACATCAAAATTATAGAGAAATTTTATCAATATTATATCTACACAAATATCCCAATGTTCCACAGATTTCAATTTATATAACTTTTTTTCCTTCTCAACCTGCATTGACGTTTGACCCTCAGAGCCTGTTTTCATGAAACTGTTTTCATTCTCAAGCATAGATTTTGTACTCAAGATAACTTTTTCATAATTCACCTAAATCACATCAAATAATACATATGTAAAATATAAACATTGAATATAGCATTTGGCTTGAAGTCCTTTCAAAATGTTTTCAAATCTTTGTCAAAATCAGCCTTTCTTATTCATTTTTCATTAAAACAAGATACAAGATTTGAGTACAAAATCTATGCTTGAGCATGAGAATGGTTTGGTGAATATGGTTCCATGTGAACCTATGTACGGTATATATGTGAGTTTATGAAATGAAGAAAAGTAAACATATGACAAACTAGTTGCTTGTTATTTACAGGAAAATATACAAAATTGAATATTTACATTTTTTTAACATTATACAATATATACAACATGGCATACTCTTTTGTGGTCTCTATTTCTCTCATTAATTTTTAATTACAGTTACATATATCTTAATACACCATAAATATTTATAAATAATTCATGAAAATCTGATGATTAATTAGAAAGTCGTTTTTTTCCATCCAATGACAAAGAACAGTCCTTCCAAACCATACCACACAAGAGATGTTCTACATCTGGCTGACATTGGCAACAAGAATAATTTCCTTTATTTTCTAGCAGAAGAACAGTCCCAAGTACTTAGTCTGATGCATCAGTGTGTAGTACACATTCCTTCTCAATATCAGGGAGTTTTATGATTAGCATGGATGATAGAATCTTCTTCAAAGTTCAGAAAGCTTTCTGTTGTAGTTCCCTCTCATGAAGTCAATGGAATTGTCCCATCCTTGTCAGATCAGTTAATGGATTTGATGTCACAGTAAAGTTTGGTATGGACCTCCTATGGAAGCCACGCCATCCCAATGAAAGAGTGAACTTGCTTCTTTGTCTCAGGAGTCAGAACGTCAAGGACAGCGTTCATCTTGTCTAGGTGAGGTACATGAGTTTGTATCTGACTACATGACCAAAACATCCCAAGTTTCTGTAACCTATGGCACATTTTGTTGGTCTGGCTGTAAGACCTGTTTCTCTATGTGACTGGAATTAAGTTCTTAAAACAGAATGTGTTCCTCCTTGGTATACAATAGGATGTCATCAATAAAGCTCTCAATGCCACCCATATCCTTCAGTAGTTTCAACATAATGCAACAAAATATAGCAGGCACATCCAGGATACCAATAGGCATCACAGAAACTTCAAACGCTTACCCACAGGAGATGAGAATGCTCCCCCATCATAACAATATCTACAGTTAGATTGTTCACTGATCCCCACCTTATCCCTTCCGTTCAATCACATTTCACTCAGAAGAACTTGGCACAAGTTGTCACAACTTACTGAATTCTACCCACCTGTCCAACTAAATTGTAAGAGGAAAGAGAATAAATAATGGTTAAACAGACCCTCCATCGTCTCCATGGTAAGCAATGGAGAAGCGGTTCCAACCAGGTTGTCTGTTCGCTGGGTAGGTCTTAGGACAGATTCCAATCACTATAGTTCCTTTCAGACCTAAGTTCATCACCTCTGTAAACAGACAAAACAGTATTGGTAAGGCCTGAACATCTTATCATAAGACCAAAAATGGAGATCTGAAAGGGATCTTGGCACCCATAATTTTTTAATCTTTACTGGTTGTACATACATCTCAATCTTAAAATCTAACAGGCTCAAACAAGGACCAAGTGGTCCCAACAAATAGCAATTGAGAACAATCCATCCAATACTTTTCAAGTGATAGCAATGGCAAATGTCAGAACTCAATGTTCACCTTCTTACAAATTTTGAGAAAAACCAATCTTGCACTTCCAAGGAAATAGCAGACATGATAGAGGACCACAGGGAACTTTTCTATTATATTTGGGAGATATTTTTGGATTGAAAATCCAAGATTGCTGGTTCACAATCACAAAATTCAGCTGCACCAACAAGGACCAAAAGGGTCATGCAGATGATATCTGAGGAGGATCCACATAGTAGACCATGTTGAAAAGAACCATGAACTTTCAAAATTCTAGATGATGAAAGCACGACATGGGACAGTCGAGACCTATCCATGCTGGGCATCTAAAGATAACAAACTTTTTAAAATTGATGATGGCCAATGTGTCAGTCAGGCTGATTTTTTTATCAGCCTCTAATTATGTCAGACACGTAGGAACCATATATGCATAGACTCTCATATTAAGAAGAAAATTTTGTTGTAAAGATACTTCAATTATCCATATAACAACTGAAGACGTTCAGAATCTTCACCAGGAAAATTACAGAAGTACAAATTAGACTGGAGAATGATTAAACAAGGAGACATAAGTATGTTTATACTGCAAGTGAAGTTCCTACGGTTCAAATGTACATGGTTGTACAAAAAACCTTAAAGCATCAGGGAATTTACCTTCCAAATAAAATGGTATTTTGACTTTTCTCTTTATATCATTTTCAAGGTATGAATTTTTTCAGTATCATATTATTTTAAAAAAATGTAAATGAAAAAAAATGTTTAAAAAAATTGCAATTATATATAACAACTTTTGCAGTATCAGAGATCTGACTACACGTACAAGGAACCCAAGTTCTGCTATTATCACACTTTTGCCAGTACAGTGAAAATAAAAGATTGGCTCAAGCTAGCTTGTCTTTAAAGCTAAAGTGTATCCTTTTATATCATAATTCACAACCAATTCAATGCATGGGCAAAAATAACCCTTGGTAAATGTATATACAGGATACTTACTGAATGAAAATTCAGAAAAGGTGGAAGAGAATGGGCTTGGTCCAACAAACTGTCCGACTGGTATTGATGGGGAATTGGTGTCATAACTGAAAAAAATATAAAGAATAAAGAACAAACTTGACAGCCTTTCATTCCAGCAGGTCCAAATATACATTGTGTAGAGTTTTCTGACCCAAATGAATGGTTAGTTCTACAAATATACATTGTGTAGAGGTTTCTGAAAGAAATGAATGGTTAGTTCTACAAATATACATTGTGTAGAGGTTTCTGACCCAAATGAATGGTTAGTTCTACAAATATACATTGTGTAGAGTTTTCTGACCCAAATGAATGGTTAGTTCTACAAATATACATTGTGTAGAGGTTTCTGACCCAAATGAATGGTTAGTTCTACAAATATACATTGTGTAGAGGTTTCTGACCCAAATGAATGGTTAGTTCTACAAATATACATTGTGTAGAGGTTTCTGACCCAAATGAATGGTTAGTTCTACAAATATACATTGTGTAGAGGTTTCTGACCCAAATGAATGGTTAGTTCTACAAATATACATTGTGTAGAGGTTTCTGACCCAAATGAATGATTAGTTCTACAAATATACATTGTGTAGAGTTTTCTGAAAGAAATGAATGGTTAGTTCTACAAATATACATTGTGTAGAGGTTTCTGACCCAAATGAATGGTTAGTTCTACAAATATACATTGTGTAGAGGTTTCTGACCCAAATGAATGGTTAGTTCTACAAATATACATTGTGTAGAGGTTTCTGACCCAAATGAATGGTTAGTTCTACAAATATACATTGTGTAGAGGTTTCTGACCCAAATGAATGGTTAGTTCTACAAATATACATTGTGTAGAGGTTTCTGACCCAAATGAATGGTTAGTTCTACAAATATAAATTGTGTAGAGGTTTCTGACCCAAATGAATGATTAGTTCTACAAATATACATTGTGTAGAGGTTTCTGACCCAAATGAATGGTTAGTTCTACAAATATACATTGTGTAGAGGTTTCTGACCCAAATGAATGGTTAGTTCTACAAATATACATTGTGTAGAGGTTTCTGACCCAAATGAATGGTTAGTTCTACAAATATACATTGTGTAGAGGTTTCTGACCCAAATGAATGGTTAGTTCTACAAATATACATTGTGTAGAGGTTTCTGAACCAATTGAATGATTAGTTCTACAAATATACATTGTGTAGAGGTTTCTGACCCAAATGAATGGTTAGTTCTACAAATATACATTGTGTAGAGGTTTCTGACCCAAATGAATGGTTAGTTCTACAAATATACATTGTGTAGAGGTTTCTGACCCAAATGAATTGTTAGTTCTACAAATATACATTGTGTAGAGGTTTCTGACCCAAATGAATGGTTAGTTCTACAAATATACATTGTGTAGAGGTTTCTGACCCAAATGAATGGTTAGTTCTACAAATATACATTGTGTAGAGGTTTCTGACCCAAATGAATGGTTAGTTCTACAAATATACATTGTGTAGAGGTTTCTGACCCAAATGAATGGTTAGTTCTACAAATATACATTGTGTAGAGGTTTCTGACCCAAATGAATGATTAGTTCTACAAATATACATTGTGTAGAGGTTTCTGACCCAAATGCATGGTTAGTTCTACAAATATACATTGTGTAGAGGTTTCTGACCCAAATGAATGGTTAGTTCTACAAATATACATTGTGTAGAGTTTTCTGACCCAAATGAATGGTTAGTTCTACAAATATACATTGTGTAGAGGTTTCTGAACCAATTGAATGGTTAGTTCTACAAATATACATTGTGTAGAGGTTTCTGACCCAAATGAATGGTTAGTTCTACAAATATACATTGTGTAGAGGTTTCTGACCCAAATGAATGGTTAGTTCACAAATATACATTGTGTAGAGGTTTCTGACCCAAATGAATTGTTAGTTCTACAAATATACATTGTGTAGAGGTTTCTGACCCAAATGAATGGTTAGTTCTACAAATATACATTGTGTAGAGGTTTCTGACCCAAATGAATGGTTAGTTCTACAAATATACATTGTGTAGAGGTTTCTGACCCAAATGAATGGTTAGTTCTACAAATATACATTGTGTAGAGGTTTCTGACCCGAATGAATACTTAATTCTACAAATATACATCGTGTAGAGGTTTCTGACCCAAATCAGGGGTTTTTGAGAAGAAGTCAAGAATGGACACACGACACATAATACCGGACAAAAGGTCCTAAAGGGGTCCTAAAAACAAAATTAAGCAGGTTGGGTTGATGTCAATTAACTATGGAGACGTAAATAGAAAACATCAGTTTTTAGGTTTTGTGTGAAAAATTTACATTCACAATCAGCTGATAGATCATGTTCATAAGATTTAGGGTGATGACAATATCTAGTACTACCATATTTTGGAAATATTTACCACAGCATCCCAGTCTCCATATACACAGCTCTCTACAGAGATTGGGACAGTACACTTTTCTGAATATTTACTACAGCATCCCAGTCCCCATATACGCAGCTCTCTACAGAGAGTGGGATGGTACACTTTTCAGGGTACTTACCACAGCATCCCAGTCTCATGATGGACACGCAGTTCTCTGCAGATAGTGGGATGGTACACTATACGGGATTCCTGTATCTCTGTCTCAGTAGTTACCTCCCCTCCTCCTAGATGTACAGCTCCCTGATAAATACAACAACATTGTCAGATTCCCAAGAAAACACCATCAGGCCTGGACAAACTCCCTAGATAACCTAACCCCCTCACAAAACATTCCTTAAATGTTCAAAAGTGGAAAAAGTAAAACAAAAAAGCACCAAAAAGGAAGGCTATAGACAAAATAGCATAAAAAGGATAATTGTAGACAAGGAAGCTTTAAAAAGGTATGGTCCCTGACAAATCTGTCACAATAATAGACACCAGGTGGTAGGTAACTGACAGGGTACCCTGGTAACTGCCACAGTAACAATGTAACTGACATAGTAACCAGGTAACTCACCAATGGGTCTGAGATGCGTAGTTTAATTGTGTCCTTGACATTGTTGCTGTATTTATGTTTCGGGCTTGTCTCCTGTAAGTCCAGCTTGTTTAGTTTCTTTTCTAACTTTTCTTTGTCTTCCTCCATCACAACTGTTGCTCTTCCAGGGAAAACACGTACTAAGGATCCATCATTGACACTGCAAGATAGAATTTTTCTTACACTATTTCCAGACAAAATCAAAGATATGTAAAACCACCTATATACTTATTCAAGATGCAATAACTTTGATACTTCTGGAAATTGACATTACTGATAATTATGACACGACTCATTTAGACTAAAGAAAAGCTTATATCTCATTAACAGTCCATGTCTACTAAAGTTGCATACTCTCGTAGACAGATGCGAGGAGGTACACCACTGATGTTTGTGACCTCTATTTCATTGTAGGCCACAGGATCCAAAGGAACTGGGGGCAATTCATCCTTGGTAGACATCATTGGGTTGGGCCTCAAAACACTGCGCATCCTCTGCAGAACAAAGACATGGTTCATTATTGTCTAAGTGAAGTTAGTGTGGTGAACCAAAGGTACACCAAATGTGTAGAATAGGACCTGGCCCAGACAATTAAGTGTGAACTGAGGTACAGGGGTAAAATAGGATCTGGTCCAGACAATTAAGTGTAGACCGAGGTACAGGGGTGGAATAGGACCTGGTCCAGACGATTCAGTGTGGACTGAGGTACAGGGGTGGAATAGGACCTGGTCCAGACAATTAAGTGTAGACCAAGGTACAGGGGTGGAATAGGACCTGGTCCAGACGATTCAGTGTGGACTAAGGTACAGGGGTGGAATAGGACCAGGTCCAGACAATTCAGTGTAGACCAAGGTACAGGGGTGGAATAGGACCTGGTCCAGACAATTCAGTGTAGACCAAGGTACAGGGGTGGAAAAGGACCAACCCAGACAATTAAGTGTGGACCGAGGTACAGGGATGGAAAAGGACCATGGTCCAGTGGAGTAAGTGCGGTGCACCTGAGATATACAAGTAGAATTACAGAGTCTGGCTTACAGCTGATCTTACCAAATCAATAGTTTCATTCATGATCCTTAATATTTTCCCTGGTCCCTGATCCAGACCATAATATTTTACATCCATTTCTAACTGATTCTGGTCATATTTAGACCCAAGCTCAAGTTTATCTTAATGCTAACATGAATACATCTTACAATGATAATCAATGTTTAATTAAAATATAATCAATTATTAAGCTTATTAGAGGAGAACATCATCAATTACCCAAATAGTCTTCGCACACCGTCCACAGATACCACAGTCATGGCAGCCACTGATACTGGTCTTACAGCCGCATTCCCGTAAGGAAGTACCCATAATTCCATTCCATTCACAGTCAATGCCATGCTCCACGCAGTTGTTACACAGTGTACAAACTGATTGTATCTGTTTGGAGTCAAAGGCCTTCCAATTATGTCTGCATCCCACAGACACATTTACTGAAAAAAAAAATGAAAGATGAAAGCCTCAGAGAAATGTCACAATGATCTGAAGACAAACACAGTTAAACTTCACTTACTCAAATGTGTATCCCGTATCTAAGTGTATTTATATGGTGGAGGAGTTCAATGCATCTCAGTTTTCCTGATTACAAATCTTACCTGATGTCCAGACACAAAAAAGTATAACTAAAGACCATCACTACTTCGGACCAAGACTTTGCGTTTTTTTCATAAATGACCAAGACTTATTGTTGATAAGAGTAAATGAAATAAATGAGGCCAGCACAGACTTATGTAGACAAACATCTATATCTCTAGTCAGCTTCAACCATTAGAGAATTATTCTTGAAAATGTTTTGTGTGAGCTTTAACCCATCAACCATGATAACTTATCCAACATAATCATGTTCTGATACCTGATGGTGCAAAATAGCATTCTATAACATGAAGCATTCTTATTGTAGTTTTGTTTTTCTTGAGGTGGCTGGTGAATGTTGTCACCTACCTTGACCCTTGGGGACACTCCTTCAGAGAACTGTTTTCACCTAACTAGATCCATTGAAATATCCCTGCAGAGGACAGATGTCCCATGAATTTTGTCACCTACCTTCATCCTTTGGGACACCCCTAGAGAGGACAGATTCCTGATGAATGTTGTCACTTACCTTCATCCTTGGGGACACTCCTTGAGAGGTCACTTACCTTGATCCTAGGGGACACCCCTAGAGAGGACAGATTCCTGATGAATGCTGTCACTTACCTTGATCCTTGAGGATACTCCTAGTGAGGACATGCACCTATCGATTATTGTCACCTACCTAGAGGAGAGGTGTCCGGACTTACCTTGATCCTTGAGAGGTCACTTACCTTGATCCTTGGGGATACTCCTAGTGAGGACATGTACCTATCTATTATTGTCACCTACCTAGACCCTTGGGGACACTCCTTGAGAGGTCACTTACCTTGATCCTTGGGTACCCCTAGAGAGAACAGGTGTCTATCTTTTATTGTCACCTACCTAGACCTTTGGGGACACTCCTTGAGAGAACCGGTGTGATGTTCTGGTAGAAGAGGACATGGTCAATCAGGTCGGTATAGAGACAGAACACCTGCCATGTGTACTCCCTCACTGTTGTCTCTGTAAGCGCGTTTACTGTCTCTGTGAGCTTTTCAGGAAAGTAGCATCTTGACTCTACGGACAACACACCTTTATCTGTCAATGTAATATACACAGAAATATAAAGCATACTTCGTCATTAACCAAGAGGGATACCGCACACACTATTATACTACACAGGTTCCTGGTGTCCTTACATGTAACTAGCTGCCTTCAGAGGTCACATTGACCATTCAATTCCTTATCAACATCACATGACATAGAATAACGTTTTCTATGATCCTCATCACATTTTACAGAAAGTAATGACTGTCTTATATCACAGAGAAAGACCCTAACATATTGGGATAAGTGTCTTACATCACACAGACAGTTCCTAAGATATAGAGATAAGTGTCCTACATCACAGAGACAGTTCCTAAGATATTGAGATAAGTGTCCTACATCACAGAGACAGTTCCTAAGATATAGAGATAAGTGTCCTACATCACAGAGATAGATCCTAACATATTAGGTAGCTGTCCTACATCACAGAGATAGATCCTAACATATTAGGATAACTGACCTACATCACACAAGCACAGTTCCTAAGATATAGAGATAAGTGTCCTACATCACACAGACACAGTTCCTAAGATATAGAAATAAGTGTCCTACATCACACAGACACAGTTCCTAAGATATAGAGATAAGTGTCCTACATCACACAGACAGTTCCTAAGATATAGAGATAAGTGTCCTACATCACAGAGACAGTTCCTAAGATATAGAGATAAGTGTCCTACATCACAGAGACAGTTCCTAACATATTAGGTAGCTGTCCTACATCACAGAGATAGATCCTAACATATTAGGTAGCTGTCCTACATCACAGAGATAGATCCTAACATATTAGGATAACTGACCTACATCAACAAGCACAGTTCCTAAGATATAGAGATAAGTGTCCTACATCACACAGACACAGTTCCTAAGATATAGAGATAAGGGTCCTACATCACACAGACAGTATCTAACATATAGAGATAAGTGTCCTACATCACACAGACACAGTTCCTAAGATATAGAGATAAGTGTCCTACATCACACAGACACAGATAGATCCTAACATATTAGGATAGCTGTCCTACATCACACAGATAGATCCTAACATATAGGATAACTGACCTACAACACACAAGCACAGTTCCTGAGATATAGAGATAAGTGACATCACACAGACACAGTTCCTAAGATACAGAGATAAGTGTCCTACATCACAGAGACAGTTCCTGAGATATTGAGATAAGTGTCCTACATCACAGAGACAGTTCCTGAGATATTGAGATAAGTGTCCTACATCACAGAGACAGTTCCTGAGATATTGAGATAAGTGTCCTACATCACAGAGACAGTTTCTGAGATATTGAGATAAGTGTCCTACATCACAGAGACAGTTCCTGAGATATTGAGATATGTGTCCTACATCACACAAAGATCAAATCCTTGGGTATCAAACAATGTTGTTCCTATTTCTGGGGCTGCTTTAGTCCTACATCTACCTAGTATGCATTTGTATATATCAATACCATGATTCAATATTGAAAGTGAAAAATACTTGAATAATTTCAACTTTTAGCTTTAAGTGGGACAACACATGCTTTAATTATCAATATTTATCTGAATCATACTTAGTCTAATCAAAAGTTTGTTTTTATCATTTTTTTACATACTATAAAAATGTAGAAATGACACGTTCCATTTAAGTACCTATTTTGTATTGATGACTAATGAAAAAAAAATATAATGTAAATGTATCTAAAAATCAACTAAACTCTTTTTTAATTCTATACATAAACATGCATGTCTATTTATATCAATTGAACCAGTAAAAAAAGCATGTTCTAATAGGAGGAACTAAGTTATTAGACAATTTTGGGTACATGAAGCTGATGTCATTGATTACAACATGAGTACATGCTAAAGATAGTGACAAAACCAGGCATCTGGCATTGTTCATTGTGTTAATCAATTACGCAGTGTTATTCTAAACAGCATAAATGGATGAGTTAATTCTAATTTGGTCAGTTGGTACATGTAAATATCTAATATCAAAGTTTATATACCTCTTATTGTTTTCACCATAGAAAATGTCCTCACAAAATAATTTCATAGATAAATGTAAGTAAGTGAGGGTCGACCACGATGAACCCCCAACTTTACCTGGAAGTGGTGTATACATGATTACCTGTACTAAGGTATATCAAGTGTAACCTCTGACCCTGTAACCTTGTCTGATAACAACTATGTAATCAGACATAGAATTTGATGTTGTAATATCACAGTGTATTTATTTTTTAATGTTGCTTTCTGTTTTTTAACAGCCGGGGTCATTTAAGGATGTACTGGAGAAAAAAACTTGGACCTGCAACCACATATGTCACAAACCCGCAACACAGAGGTGGAGGGCATGTGGTAAAGATGCTGAGTGGCCATTATCACTCAGCCACCGTGCCGGCCCCTTCCCTCTCCCCCGCCCCTCATTATGGTTTTAATCTGGAAAACTTAATGTCATGGTATTACAGTGTAATAAGAGCTAGTCAAGTGTGACTTTTGACCCCTACAACCTTGACCAATTACCAGCAAAAACTTATGAGGTGTGAAATATGATGTTATAATACTATCATTGTTTAATTATGAACAAAAGAGAGACCTAAGAGACATCTGTAACATAAGCTTATGGACAAAGAATCTAATTACTAACATCCTTCTCTATAACCTAGAAATGTCTATCAGACTCCTATGAAAACCAGAATCTGATCAGGTGTAGAACATGATGTCATAATGCTATGGGGAAAGTATGAACCAAATCTATTGAGATGTTCTCAAGAAATGGTATCAATGCGGAACAGGACCTGATATGACAGGCCATATGAACATGGTGAGACTCCCTCACATAAACGGGGAAATGATTGTTCAAATGATCAAGTATATAGTTCCTCTTAATCAGCTTGGTTTATATGTGTCCTTGTTGATAGCCAAGTACTAAATACTGGTATATCTAATCTTAATTAATACAAACACTCCCCAATCAATAACAGAAATTAAACATTACCACAGATACCTGTAAGACATATATAACATTCCAATTTCATGTCAAACTCATTAGTCATTTGTTAGTAATGCAGGCATATTACTCTAGGTAATGTCTATATCATAGCAAAATTAGCATCACTAAATGGTAGGAAAAAAACACAAACCAAAACTAAAAATACATTTCTGGGTAATACAAATTATACACTGCTTTTACACAGTGTGTTTTATGGAGTATGAAACAACACACAATCAAATCAATTTCATTTTTAGTTATCTAAAAGTCTACTGTTAATAGCACGTTCAAAATCCAAAGTATAGACCTGTTTTAAAATTGTATCTCTTTATTGGATATTTAAAACAATAAAACAGTTGTGGCTGCGAGATTATACTTACCACGAAAGGACTCTAAAATTTCAACCCCTATATTCACATTCAAAACAAGAAAGATATATAAGATATGTTTCAGATTGTTTTGGGTTTTTTTTTACATCTGATTTATTTTGTAGAATTGTTTTTGTGAATTTGGTGAATAGTTATATTTTCTTACATCCTGATTTTAATCAAATGTTGAATTATAATTGTTTCCCTAAACTTGTGTAAAAGGTCAGAAAGATAAAACAATATTTGTGCAGAAAATATTATTGTATAATAGTTTTGAAATATTATTATTATTCTAAAATATTAATTTGGGTTTGTAGTAACAAGTAATAAAAAGTATGAATATGTGATTAATGTAGTGTGATAGGATACTATGTATGACGGATTGAAAAGAAGCTGAAAAAAATCCATGGATTTTTGTTTATTACAGGCAACAAAACTTTGTTGATATTTATTTTATAAGTTAAGTTAGGTGTAGATTATCTGTTAATATGTAAGTAAGATGAAGCCAGGAATATCAGATACATATCACTGTTATCTGACTAAGTCATGAGACTTCTTACAGAAAAGGAAATGTAGATGGTTGTCAAAATCCTTAGAAATCAGAAGATCTACAATTTGTAAGTTTAGGGTGAAACAGAACCTTACCCAGAATTGGATCCACGTCACTGTTTACAAGGTCTAGAATATATTTACAGCCATATTAGACTTACACAATTCTTTAGTATGACAGCTTTTATAAAGTACCTTACTTTTAAACTTTTATGAACGAGTAATGATTTCAGAAATTATAATTAAAAGGTAGATTTAAGTCCTATTAACAGACAGGAATGTATCTTATCATTAAGACAGATCTTGTTATATTACCAGGTTTCAGAAATATGTCGTTAATACCAGGTAGGAGTGCTTTAAACCATCATTTATGTATTTGCAAATTATCAAACATATGTCTTACATTCATTACAAGATAGAAATATGTTACATTACCTGGAAAGAGTATTTCACATGACCAGGTAGGAAAATATCAGGAGACCAGGTAGGAGAATATCATGTGACCTGGTAGGAGAATGTGATGTGACAAGGTAGGAGAATATCATGAGACAAGGTAGGAAAATATGATGAGACCAGGTAGGAGAATGTGATGTGACAAGGTAGGAGAATATCATGTGACCTGGTAGGAGAATGTCATGTGACATTGTAGGAGAATATCATGTGACCTAGTATGAGAATGTCATGTGACCAGGTAGGAGAATGTCATAGGACAAGGTAGGAGAATGCTATGTGACCTGGTACGAGAATGTCATGAGATCAGGTAAGAGAATGCCATGTGACCTGGTAGGAGACTGTCATAGGACAAGGTAGGAGAATGCTATGTGACCTGGTAGGAGAATGTCATGAGACCAGGTATGAGAATGTCATGTAACCTGGTAGGAGAATGTCATGAGACCAGGTATGAGAATGTCATGTGACTAGGTAGGAGAATGTCATGTGACAAGGTAGGAGAATGTCATGTAACCAGGTAGAAGAATGTCATGTGACCCAGTAAAAGAATGTCATGTAACCAGATAATATTATACCATATGGCCAAGAAGGAGAATGTCGTAATCTTAGGAAGGACTATGTTATCAATATGTGGGTATTTTATGTTATCAGTAAGGTGTATATTTGTCATGTTAATATGTGGGTGTATATTCTACTACTCTGGTATTTTATATATCTCCAGAAAAGCCTAATTATCATACCTATAACATAACACCAAGTTGGTGTTCCTACTTTATAACATATATCACTTACCCATCAGTCCTTCATGTCTGATTATCACTGTCTGTACTGCACCAAGCTGGAAAACACCACCCTCAGATGTCAACAAGACAGTGCGGCCATATTTAGTCATGTGACTGAGAACAAGAGCCAGGATGTGGTCTGGTATTCGATGTAGGAATGAATAAGTACACTGTACTAAGATGGAATTTTTCTTGTTTTTCTCGTTACCAGTCCAAAACTCTCTCTATTTAACAGAAAAATAATAATCAACATATTAAAACAGTTGTTCTTTAGGTTTAAAGCTAAATACTTACACAATATCATTTTAAAGAAATATTTTCGAAGTATTTGAAATTAAGAAAAAAAATTCCATTCTTCTATTCAGGAAATAGACGTAGATTCAATGTATAACAAAGTGACTGCATGGTGAGATGGAATATTGTAGGACTTACCAAAGTCAATATTTGTGTCTAGGTTAGGTATTGTGGTATATAGTATGACTTACCAAAGTCTCTGGTGGTGTGTCTAGGTTAGGTATTGTGGTATACAGTATGACTTACCAAAGTGAATGTTTGTGTCTAGATTAGGTATTGTGGTATACAGTATGACTTACCAAAGTCTCTGGTGGTGTGCCAAGGTTAGGTATTGTGGTGAATAGTATAACTTACCAAAGTCTCTGGTGGTGTGTCTAGGTTAGGTATTGTGGTGAATAGTATAACTTACCAAAGTCTCTGGTGGTGTGTCTAGGTTAGGTATTGTGGTGAATAGTATAACTTACCAAAGTCTCTTGTGGTGTGTCTAGGTTAGGTATTGTGGTGAATAGTATAACTTACCAAAGTCTCTGGTGGTGTGTCTAGGTTAGGTATTGTGGTGAATAGTATAACTTACCAAAGTCTCTTGTGGTGTGTCTAGGTTAGGTATTGTGGTATACAGTATGACTTACCAAAGTCTCTGGTGGTGTGTCTAGGTTAGGTATTGTGGTATACAGTATGACTTACCAAAGTCTCTTGTGGTGTGTCTAGGTTAGGTTTTGTGGTATACAGTATGACTTACCAACAACACTGGTGGTGTGTCTAGGTTAGGTATTGTGGTATACACTATGACTTACCAAAGTCTCTGGTGGTGTGCCGAGGTTGGGTATTGTGGTATACACAAACTTTGGGTCAGTAGGCATGGTTCTGAAACACGACAGCCGCACCAGTCCTAGGTAATCATGCATCATCTGTACTAGGGTGCTGAACTGTCAACAATAATGGATTAATGCTACATTGTACATGTCATACTAGTACTCCAGGGAGTCAACACATTTCTTCTTATCCAAAGTCACAGGGTGGGCTTATTACAGGATCCCAGGGAGTGAACTCATAACTTCAGAGGGTAGGCTTATTACAGGGACCCAGGAAGTGAACTTATTACTTCTCACTCAGAGTCAGAGGGTAGGTTTATAACAGGATCCCAGGGAGTGAACTTATTACTTCTCACTCAGAGTCAGAGGGTAGGTTTATAACAGGATCCCAGGGAGTGAACTTATTACTTCTCACTCAGAGTCAGAGGGTAGGTTTATAACAGGATCCCAGGGAGTGAACTTATTACTCTTTACTCAGAGTCAGAGGGTAGGTTTATAACAGGATCACTGGGAGTGTAGTTATTACTTGTCACTCAGTCAGAGGGTAGGTTTATAACAGGATCCCAGGGAGTGAACTTATTACTTTTACTCAGAGTCAGAGGGTAGGTTTATAACAGGATCCCAGGGAGTCCCAGGGAGTGAACTTATTACTTTTACTCAGAGTCAGAGGGTAGGTTTATAACTGAACTTATTACTCTTTACTCAGAGTCAGAGGGTAGGTTTATAACAGGATCCCAGGGAGTGAACTTATTACTCTTTACTCAGAGTCAGAGGGTAGGTTTATAACAGGATCCCAGGGAGTGAACTTATTACTCTTTACTCAGAGTCAGAGGGTAGGTTTATAACAGGATCCCAGGGAGTGAACTTATTACTCTTTACTCAGAGTCAGAGGGTAGGTTTATAACAGGATCCCAGGGAGTGAACTTATTACTCTTTACTCAGAGTCAGAGGGTAGGTTTATAACAGGATCCCAGGGAGTGAGGAGTCAGAGGGTAGGTTTATAACAGGATCCCAGGGAGTGAACTTATTACTTCTCACTCAGAGTCAGAGGGTAGGTTTATAACAGGATCCCAGGGAGTGAACTTATTACTTCTCACTCAGAGTCAGAGGGTAGGTTTATAACAGGATCCCAGGGAGTGAACTTATTACTTCTCACTCAGAGTCAGAGGGTAGGTTTATAACAGGATCCCAGGGAGTGAACTTATTACTCTTTACTCAGAGTCAGAGGGTAGGTTTATAACAGGATCCCAGGGAGTGAACTTATTACTTCTCACTCAGAGTCAGAGGGTAGGTTTATAACAGGATCCCAGGGAGTGAACTTATTACTCTTTACTCAGAGTCAGAGGGTAGGTTTATAACAGGATCCCAGGGAGTGAACTTATTACTCTTTACTCAGAGTCAGAGGGTAGGTTTATAACAGGATCCCAGGGAGTGAACTTATTACTCTTTACTCAGAGTCAGAGGGTAGGTTTATAACAGGATCCCAGGGAGTGAACTTATTACTTCTCACTCAGAGTCAGAGGGTAGGTTTATAACAGGATCCCAGGGAGTGAACTTATTACTTCTCACTCAGAGTCAGAGGGTAGGTTTATAACAGGATCCCAGGGAGTGAACTTATTACTCTTTACTCAGAGTCAGAGGGTAGGTTTATAACAGGATCCCAGGGAGTGAACTTATTACTCTTTACTCAGAGTCAGAGGGTAGGTTTATAACAGGATCCCAGGGAGTGAACTTATTACTTCTCACTCAGAGTCAGAGGGTAGGTTTATAACAGGATCCCAGGGAGTGAACTTATTACTTCTCACTCAGAGTCAGAGGGTAGGTTTATAACAGGATCCCAGGGAGTGAACTTATTACTTCTCACTCAAAGTCAGAGGGTAGGCTTATTTCATTTACCTAGCTTATTTGACTCACATACTTATCGTTGAGATCGAAACAGAATTGCAACCAGCAACTGGCATAAAGAGAAACACAGACGATTCTCTACAGTCAATTTGATCTACTGATGATATTGTTATTGTAAATAGAACTAAACATCGAGCACCAATAAAAATACCATTAAGTGGTCATTTGTGTTATCAATGTTCACTGTAATGGCACTCAGAACAAGAAATAACAGTATTTACCTGTAACCGTGGTGTTCTAGCAAATGATCTCAATCCTTCAATAAATTCCTATTCTATTTGAATCTAACAGGAAATAAAAATCATATTTGACCTTTACCCTTGGTTTCATCTTCCTATCTTGTTTAGAGTTCAATAACTTTCATTCTGAATGTCAAAATTTAAACCAAATTTCTACCAACTAAGATGTATGACAAACATAAAGCAAGAGACTTTGAAAAATTAGATATGATACCATACGATCACGGGTTACGATCACTTTTGCTCTTTGTATAAGCAAAATAATTGGTTCCAGAAGAAAAAGGCTCCTTTAAAAATTACAAAGGAGCAACACTCAACTTCAAAGCTATTACAATATACCCTTACACCACCTCAAGATTTGTTCCATGTACATCAAAAGATCAAACTAGTCTTTTTGTCTTGTTCACAAAGCGTCGCACAAGGAAACCTCAATTTTGCCATGACATGTTTCAGGGGTGCAGTGAGCAAAAGTAATTGTAACCCTTGGAGTATCGAGTATGTTGTTTCACCATCTCCTACACAATGACATACACAAAGCATTCACAATAAACTTTGTACATGTCGTACCTTGTCAGAATCCACTAATCCATGGAACCTCTTTTTGAATGCATCCTCTGTCCAGATGTGGCAGGATGAACCTACAGCTGTCACACACTTGCCACTCATTGTCATTCCAGATATCTTCTGTATATTACTCATCACATCAAACCAGAACTCCAGGTCTACTGCTATCCTCCTTGACCCATGCTTCAGAATCAACAGATCTCCCTGAAACAAACAATTTCATGTTTATTGTGATTTTAAATTGTCCTTGACATCAGTTTGACTTAAGCTTTGGTTAACAATGGTTTTGACCTTTTAAAGCTCATGCTGACCTTGATCTGTATATTGGATTTGATGGCCTTGGTCAGTTTTACTATTTGTGTATACCTTGATCTTACATGTATATCATAGTTATAATTGACCAGGACATGTTGTTCATGTCGACCTTGACACATTTCTTTTAAGTTGCTTTTGACACATGGTTTGTGTATACCTTGATATTTAAGGTATTTTTTAATAACCTTGACCTATATCATGGTTTATGATGACCTTGGCATGCATTGTAGTTTGTGGTTACCATGACGTAAGTCAAGTTTTATGATGACCTTGACTTGTAGGGTATGTTATAAGGTAAGAAGACTGACTTTGACTAACATAATTGTTCTTTTATATGCCAGTTCATTGCAAACAAATATTACCTTGAAGACCCTAAAAGTAAATAACAAAATGTCTGTAAGCAACAATGATAACACTCCAATGCAAGTATGCAAGTATCAGTGTTTGACAAACTCTATCAACATCCAACAGTGATCCTGCAACTCTGATACTCAAAATCATCTAAGGTATTTATGTAAGCTGTACTTTGCATAAAGTTTCATCAAAATCCCTTCAGTAATGAAATCGCTGGAGTAATAACATAGATTTTGGGACAGGTGATGCTATGTTAAGCAATAGCATGTGACAGGAATTTTAAATATGACTTCGACCTATATCACTTTTCAATATAATCTTAACTTGTATTAAGTTTTACGTTTATATATTTTCAAGATTATAAGCCGCACCTGTATTCCTCGTGAATTGGGCGTGCGATCAAAACAAAACAAAACAAAAAAAAAAAAAAAACAGGAGTGTACCAGTACAAGACTGTACTGAGTTTTCTTAGGAGTACCTGCCTGTCACAGTTTTTGACTGAAACAGATTGTCTAGAACCATCACCTGCAATCGTACAAAGGATGTTGAAATAAAAATAACATTCTCTTGGATTTAATTAATCATACATTTTAACATGAATCAAAATAATATCTTCTAGACTTTCACGGTTACTTAGAAGCCATAGTGGAAGATTACAATAGCCTTTTGCATTCTTGGATTGATATGTCATCGGGCTATAGGTCAAATTCAATATTTGCTATTTTACATTTTTTGAAATAAATCAATAAAATAAAAGATTCATTTGCAAACTTTATTAAATGTTTCACTGACGATCATGATGAAGTGCCCTCTTGCCCTCCATTGTCTGTTATATCAACAAACTTGGATCACTTTAACAGTTACCATTACGTAAGAAAGTGTCAGCTTATATTAAAAAGCAGCTAGTAAGTGGATCAAATAAAAAAATTGGTAAAAATTGGCTCTGCGTCTTATACACCGAGGGGATACAAATATGATATGACACCGGTGTGGCATATAACTGGGAAAATACAGTAAATTGATTTGCAAGTAATTTTGATTGATATCATATTGTTTTGATATTTATAGTGATAAAAATGACCTTGACCTAATTATGTTTTTTGCTGACCTTTTCCTGGAGAATCTGGAGAAGATTGACAAAGATATCAGTGCAGATTGCTTGGGCACCGAAAAGTTCAGCAGAGACATCCTGCATCTTCTCCTTCTTGAGACACTGAATGACTTCCTGGAGAATTTTGAGATTGTTTGAAGTCAGCTGATGCTGAACGGGATACTTCTTTTGGTGACCTAGGAATGTCTTCTCCACCTGTTTCATAATGTCAGCTCTTCCCTACAACACATATTTCCTGGTATGTTAGTTATAAATAGCTACTAATTGACAGAAAGTTTTTATTTCATAACAACATCAGGGAGACCATGTTTAAAATGTTATCTTATTGGTGTTTCATGTCTTACTAACAGCTAGTGTTATTTAAGGATGTTCCAGGTTTGGGTGGTAGAGGAAAGCTTCCAGTTCCAGGAGAAAAACCACCAACCTGCAACCACTACCTCAAGCCCTTGACCCAGAGGTGGAGGGCTAGTGATAAAGCTGGTCAGACACCCTAACCAAATGGCTACCACGGCCCCTGTTTAAAAACGTGTGCAATTCAACATACGATGTTATAATGGAATCATATTTTTTAGAAAATGGTGTTTTATATATCAAATATTTTCATTTTACCCAAATGAAACCAGCTGATATGATTTTACTTATTCATTATTTTACAGAGAGGTCCAACCTAGAATGATACAAGTTATGAGGGTACGTCAATCTAAAAATGATATTATGATAAAGTCTTTAACACAAGTGCCCAGTGCTTGTCTTTTGTGATTTCAACCAATGTCCAGAACATATGTGAACTCCTTTACAACTTGTCCTGAGGTTTCTGCAAAAAACAAACCTTGTCTGTTATGAGGTTTGATGTCAGGAAATGTAACCGCTGTTTGTTCTTTTTCAGGTTTTCAAAGTTTTCTTGAACAGCACAAAGCTGAGAAAAGTTCTCCTGACCTTGAAGGTCAAGGTCACCACAATTTCTGGAAATCATCAATGAATAATTAAAATTAGAGAAAAGCAATGTTTCTGATGTGCAGAATGCTAGTATTTCTACATAATGACAGTTCAAAGTGTCAATCCTTCTACCATATTTGTATTGTAGTTAAACTGCCCTCAATATTGCCATCTTCACTAATATTGACTAATCATTTTCAATATTTGTCAGAAAATCATCAGGCCTTTTATGTTATCTGATATTACAATGCCATGAGTAACAAGAAAAAAAAAAAAGAAAGAGACAAAGATATTTGCAATATGTGATGGGAATACCTGTGGACATCATCTAGATGCTTGGTGAGGTCATTAAGGACAGAGAAGTCTGTATCCAAATCCATTTGACCTTGTAACAGCTGGGCTTTCCCGCTAACATCAACATTGTCTTTAGCCATACCCACAATGACGAATTCACAGCCTTCAAAATCATGGCTCACAATTTCCTCAGATTGTGAGGATGGAGCAGGCTCTGGTAGCCCCAATTCTTTTCTCTGTCAGTGTGTAAGAAACATATATATCAAATAATGTACATTATGTCATCTTTTGTCCTCATTGGTTACACCATCAATATGTGAGATCAGTCACATGAGATATCGACACAACATTACTAGTATTAGAAAAAGCAGGTATCCTCTTCATCACCATATTTTAAATGTATAATATCAATGCTCTCTACCAAATGTAGATGATATAAAAAATGCATAATTGGAGATAAACCATTTTTTACAAAATTGATTTCCCTTCACCCATGGATGCTTCGGAACAAATTGTAAATTTGGGCAAAATCTATGTTTTCATGCAGAAGAAGAAGGATTTTAAAGGATTTGCTGTATTTCCCCGATTAGGTCCTGCCCCCAGCAGCTGTGGTGTGTCATTTATACAAAATTGTTTTCTCTTTACCCAAGGATACTTTAGACCACATTAGGACAGAATCCAATCGTTCTTTCAGAAAAAGACTGATTTTAAAGAACTTGCTAAATTTCTCCTTTAGGGCCCCATCCCTTAGGTCCCTGGGGGCTGAGAATCACAATTTATATAAACTTAGTTCCCCTTCCCCCAAGGAGGCTACTGACCAGATTTGGTTAAAATCATGTCCTGTATGACCAGGAGCAATATTTAGTAAAAAAATTTTCGATGGACACCCCATTATGGCATAAGCTCACAGGTCCTTCTGACCAGATGAGGTTAAAACTAAACTGACCTTCGACTTATCCTATTCTTAGCTCTCGTTGTATATAGCATAAAACTATTGTGATATGTGGCCTATCTTAATTTGTGCTCCTGATGTATACAGTATATGTAAATTAAGTGACCATTGCCCTATCTAACCTTGCGTTCCTCTTCTTCCTTCTCCAGTCTCTTTCTGAGGACCTTTGTCTCTGGGTAGAAGTTCAATAACTTGACAGAATGTTCCTTCACCATACATACACCAGGATACAATCCATCCCAGCGAAGGGCCAGCTCATTTTCATGGACCTACAAACAAACAGACCTTTTACACACCTATAAACAAACAGACCTCATACACCCCTAAAACAAACAAATTTTTCATACACCTGTCATACCCAGATGATCTTTTTCACATACATCACATTATGTTCCCACTAAAATCAATTCAGAACTGATATCAACTGTGACACCATTTCCATTTTATTTATTTATCAAAGAATAAAAATATGAAATGAAATGGCAGTACACTTGAGTAACTACACTTCTTCATTTCTAGTTTTCAAATGTAAATCACATGTATACAATTACAAATACACAGCATTTATATAATATGATTAACACATGTTAAAATAATTAAGATAGATAGAGACAAATGATGCCTCTTCAGTCAAAGTTCGTCTCAGATTTGTAATTTCAATGCCATTATTTATCTAAAGAAATTACTGTTTCAGAAGGCTATTCCAAATCAACAAGATATCATACCCGTTTGCCATTTTTGGTGAAATATACAATCAGCTTCTGTTGCGAAGTAAGTTTGCCATCCTCTGTAAACTGGAGTGACTTCCCCTTGATAGGTTCTACACCACAGCCAATCACATTTGATGCCCCATAGCTGAACTCATCTTTCTTGGAATCATAGGACTTCCCTTCAAACTGAATTCTGTAATGACAGTGTGAACATTTTATACAAATAGAGCATACGCATGAAGGGTATTTGTAGTGTATCTTTAGCAAAAGTGATTAATATATAAAGTAGTTACTGCTTAACAGAATGCTTTGTGTAAATTTCATGTTAGCACTGGTCACTGTATTTGTTAGGAAGTATATCTGAGATAAACTATACAAGGGACAAGCTATATGTGTCTGGCATGTCCCATATCAACTTTATAAGGGACAAGCTATATGTGTCTGACATGTCCCACATCAACTTTACTAGGAACAAGCTATATGTGTCTGGCATGTCCCACATCAACTTTATTGGAAACAAGCTATATGTGTCTGGCATGTCCCATATCAACTTTATAAGGGACAAGCTATATGTGTCTGGCATGTCCCACATCAACTTTACTAGGAACAAGCTATATGTGTCTGGCATGTCGCATATCAACTTTATTAGGGACAAGCTTTATGTGTCTGGCACTAGCTATAGTTGTCTGGGTATGTCCCACATAAAATACCCTGGAGACTAGCTATAGCTGTCTTGGTATGTCCCACATAAACTACACTGGATACTAGCTATAGCTGTCTTGGTATGTCCCACATAAACTACACTGGATACTAGCTATAGCTGTCTTGGTATGTCCCACATAAACTACACTGGATACAAGCTATAGTTGTCAGGGTATGTCCCACATAAACTTCCCTGAAGACCAGCTATAGTTGTCTGGGTATGTCCCACATAAACTACACTGGAGACCAGCTATAGTTGTCTGGGTATGTCCCACATAAACTTCCCTGAAGACCAGCTATAGCTGTCTGGGTATGTCCCACATAAACTACACTGGAGACCAGCTATAGTTGTCTGGGTATGTCCCACATAAACTACACTGGAGACCAGCTATAGTTGTCAGGGTATGTCCCACATAAACTTCCCTGAAGACCAGCTATAGTTGTCTGGGTATGTCCCACATAAACTTCCCCTTCCCTGAAGACCAGCTATAGCTGTCTGGGTATGTCCCACATAAACTACACTGGAGACCAGCTATAGCTGTCTGGGTATGTCCCACATAAACTTCCCCTTCCCTGAAGACCAGCTATAGTTGTCTGGGTATGTCCCACATAAACCACATCAGAGACTTGCTAGAGTTGTCTGGGTATGTCCCACATAAACTTCCCTGAAGACCAGCTATAGTTGTCTGGGTATGTCCCACATAAACTACACTGGAGACCAGCTATAGTTGTCTGGGTATGTCCCACATAAACTTCCCTGAAGACCAGCTATAGTTGTCTGGGTATGTCCCACATAAACTTCCCCTTCCCTGAAGACCAGCTATAGCTGTCTGGGTATGTCCCACATAAACTTCCCCTTCCCTGAAGACCAGCTATAGTTGTCTGGGTATGTCCCACATAAACTACACTGGAGACCAGCTATAGTTGTCTGGGTATGTCCCACATAAACTACACTGGAGACCAGCTATAGCTGTCTGGGTATGTCCCACATAAACTTCCCTGAAGACCAGCTATAGTTGTCTGGGTATGTCCCACATAAACTACACTGGAGACCAGCTATAGCTGTCTGGGTATGTCCCACATAAACTACACTGAAGACCAGCAATAGTTGTCTGGGTATGTCCCACATAAACTACACTGGAGACCAGCTATAGTTGTCTGGGTATGTCCCGCATAAACTACACTGGAGACCAGCTATAGCTGTCTGGGTATGTCCCACATAAACTTCCCCTTCCCTGAAGACCAGCTAGAGTTGTCTGGGTTTGTCCCACATAAACTACACTGGAGACCAGCTATAGTTGTCTGGGTATGTCCCACATAAACTACACTGGAGACCAGCTATAGTTGTCTGGGTATGTCCCACATAAACTTCCCTGAAGACCAGCTATAGCTGTCTGGGTTTGTCCCACATAAACTTCCCTGAAGACCAGCTATAGCTGTCTGGGTATGTCCCACATAAACTTCCCTGAAGACCAGCTATAGCTGTCTGGGTATGTCCCACATAAACTTCCCCTTCCCTGAAGACCAGCTAGAGTTGTCTGGGTATGTCCCACATAAACTTCCCTGAAGACCAGCTATAGCTGTCTGGGTTTGTCCCACATAAACTTCCCTGAAGACCAGCTATAGCTGTCTGGGTATGTCCCACATAAACTTCCCCTTCCCTGAAGACCAGCTATAGTTGTCTGGGTATGTCCCACATAAACTACACTGAAGACCAGCTATAGTTGTCTGGGTATGTCCCACATAAACTACACTGGAGACCAGCTATAGTTGTCTGGGTATGTCCCACATAAACTTCCCTGAAGACCAGCTATAGCTGTCTGGGTTTGTCCCACATAAACTTCCCTGAAGACCAGCTATAGCTGTCTGGGTATGTCCCACATAAACTTCCCTGAAGACCAGCTATAGCTGTCTGGGTATGTCCCACATAAACTTCCCCTTCCCTGAAGACCAGCTATAGTTGTCTGGGTATGTCCCACATAAACTACACTGGAGACCAGCTATAGTTGTCTGGGTATGTCCCACATAAACTACACTGGAGACCAGCTATAGTTGTCTGGGTATGTCCCACATAAACTACACTGGAGACCAGCTATAGTTGTCTGGGTATGTCCCACATAAACTACACTGGAGACCAGCTATAGTTGTCTGGGTATGTCCCACATAAACTACACTGGAGACCAGCTATAGTTGTCTGGGTATGTCCCACATAAACTTCCCCTTCCCTGAAGACCAGCTATAGTTGTCTGGGTATGTCCCACATAAACTAGACTGGAGACCAGCTATAGTTGTCTGGGTATGTCCCACATAAACTACACTGGAGACCAGCTATAGTTGTCTGGGTATGTCCCACATAAACTTCCCTGAAGACCAGCTATAGTTGTCTGGGTATGTCCCACATAAACTAGACTGGAGACCAGCTATAGTTGTCTGGGTATGTCCCACATAAACTACACTGGAGACCAGCTATAGTTGTCAGGGAAAATTCACACAAAACTTGGGAGAAATCCAGGAAGTAGTGATCAAGAAACAGGGAAAACGAACCGTACAAACATTTTGAGAAATTCTCCTGAAAAAAAACACTACACAATAATGAGAATTATCAGTCAGACATCATTTAGACCATGTATGGACATTGGGAAATTTGACCTAATAATGTTTGGTTGGAAATTTGACAGTGACTTACACTCCAGTGTTGTGGTATCCAACAGATGACTTCACTCCCAGAAAGTTTATGGCACTGAAGTAGGAATCACACAAACCAATACTGATGAGGTTGTCAGAGCTTTTAACTTCTTTTTCCTGTATCTTCACCTCAAAATATAGCAGATCCTTGTGGAAGGCTGTCTTTCCTACATAGTAAGCATACATAGGAGTTTTGTCCAGAGGAGGTCTGAAATATACAGAAAATTATTACAAAAGTCTCACAAGAATGGGGCTGCTGTTACTAGTGAGTAAACTCTAGAAGATTTTCTCTAATACAACTCATTACAGTGTCTAACATGCAAACAAACTTTTATAAAAAAAAAAAATAAGATAAAAATCTTGTTATCTACAATTGCTTTCACAACATAATATGGTTATTGGTGCTCTAAAATTCAGGGTCTGTAAGGTGTGACAAAACAAAATCTTGTAGAGATTTTTTCACTTCATTAGCAATTCCCTCTCATGTAACTTCAAAATTGTAAGAGATTCCCCTTATATAACATTTCTTTGGAATGATGGTATGAGCATTTTCTTCTTTTTTTTTCAGTCTATCAAACAAGAAATTGTTGTTTGACATTGCAGTTGTGGATACTAGAAGTAAAATTAAAATAAAAGTGCAAGTCTATTCACCTATATTTGATTTTATTGATTTTAATGCGACAACACTTTAATCTACATGAAGTATTTCCAGACTGCAAGAAAAACAATGGGACTTCAGCTTGAAATAGTAACAGAAATTGATACATCAATATGTCTAATGCTTTGATTATATTACAAGGCAAAGTCAACAAAAATATCAAGACTTTCCAACACACTCTGTACCATACTCTGGTAATGGACATACCTGGCAATCAGCTGACCATCATCCATACAAAGCATGATATGTAACTTTCCTACGGTCAATCTGTTTGGTATCAAGGCCTGAAAAACAGGTAACAATAGAGTTAGTATTCCACTGTCAATGTTTGTCACAACAGCCTTCCAGATATTGTGTATGGAAGTAACATTACACAGGTGTTAGATAATTCAGATTGTCAACTGCTATTTAATAACTCCTTCTGATACTAAAATCATTTCTTATTCTCATCATTGCAAATCAGATGTTAATCAACTTTGATCAATAAAATTAATAAGGACAACCTAGCTACCTACTGATTCTCTGTAATTGGGTACATAGTTCAGTATCTGTACAGGTTACTTATTGGCTGTCTGTAGTGGGGTACATAGTTCAGTGTCTGTACAGGATACTTACTGGCTGTTTGTAGTGGGGTACACAGTTCAGTATCTGTACAGGTTACTTACTGGCTCTCTGTAATTGGGTGCATAGTTCAGTATCTGTACAGGTTACTTACTGACTCTCTGTAGTGGGGTACATAGTTCAGTATCTGTACAGGTTACTTATTGGCTGTCTGTAGTGGTGTACATAGTTCAGTATCTGTACAGGTTACTTACTGACTCTCTGTAGTGGGGTACATAGTTCAGTATCTGTACAGGTTACTTACTGGCTGTCTGTAGTGGTGTACATAGTTCAGTATCTGTACAGGTTACTTACTGACTGCCTGTAGTGGGGTACATAGTTCAGTATCTGTACAGGTTACTTACTGACTGCCTGTAGTGGGGTACATAGTTCAGTATCTGTACAGGTTACTTACTGACTCTCTGTAGTGGTGTACATAGTTCAGTATCTGTACAGGTTACTTACTGACTCTCTGTAGTGGGGTACATAGTTCAGTGTCTGTACAGGATACTTACTGACTCTCTGTAGTGGTGTACATAGTTCAGTATCTGTACAGGTTACTTACTGACTCTCTGTAGTGGGGTACACAGTTAAGTATCTGTACAGGTTACTTACTGACTGCCTGTAGTGGTGTACATAGTTCAGTATCTGTACAGGTTACTTACTGACTCTCTGTATTGGTGTACATAGTTCAGTATCTGTACAGGTTACTTACTGACTCTCTGTATTGGTGTACATAGTTCAGTATCTGTACAGGATACTTACTGGCTCTCTGTAGTGGTGTACACAGTTCAGTATCTGTACAGGATACTTACTGGCTGTCTGTAGTGGGGTACATAGTTCAGTATCTGTACAGGTTACTTACTGGCTCTCTGTAGTGGAGTACATAGTTCAGTATCTGTACAGGTTACTTACTGGCTGTCTGTAGTGGGGTACATAGTTCAGTGTCTGTACAGGATACTTACTGGCTCTCTGTAGTGGGGTACACAGTTCAGTATCTGTACAGGATACTTACTGGCTGTCTGTAGTGGGTACACAGTTCAGTGTCTGTACAGGATACTTACTGGCTCTCTGTATTGGGGTACATAGTTCAGTATCTGTACAGGTTACTTACTGACTCTCTGTAGTGGTGTACATAGTTCAGTATCTGTACAGGTTACTTACTGACTCTCTGTAGTGGGGTACATAGTTCAGTATCTGTACAAGTTACTTACTGACTCTCTGTATTGGTGTACATAGTTCAGTATCTGTACAGGTTACTTACTGGCTCTCTGTAGTGGGGTACATAGTTCAGTATCTGTACAGGATACTTACTGGCTCTCTGTAGTGGGGTACATAGTTCAGTATCTGTACAGGTTACTTACTGACTGCCTGTAGTGGGGTACATAGTTCAGTATCTGTACAGGTTACTTACTGTCTGTCTGTAGTGGGGTACATAGTTCAGTATCTGTACAGGTTACTTACTGTCTGTCTGTAGTGGGGTACATAGTTCAGTATCTGTACAGGATACTTACTGTCTGTCTGTAGTGGGGTACATAGTTCAGTATTAGGTTATTTACTGACTCTCTGTAGTGGGGTACATAGTTCAGTATCTGTACAGGTTACTTACTGTCTCTCTGTATTGGTGTACATAGTTCAGTATCTGTACAGGTTACTTACTGGCTCTCTGTAGTGGGGTACATAGTTCAGTATCTGTACAGGATACTCACTGGCTGTCTGTATTGGTTTACATAGTTCAGTATCTGTACAGGATACTTACTGGCTCTCTGTAGTGGGGTACATAGTCAGTATTAGGTTATTTACTGACTCTCTGTAGTGGGGTACATAGTTCAGTATCTGTACAGGTTACTTACTGGCTGTCTGTAGTGGGGTACATAGTTCAGTATCTGTACAGGTTACTTACTGACTCTCTGTATTGGTGTACATAGTTCAGTATCTGTACAGGTTACTTACTGACTGCCTGTGGTGGGGTACATAGTTCAGTATCTGTACAGGTTACTTACTGACTCTCTGTATTGGTGTACATAGTTCAGTATCTGTACAGGATACTTACTGACTGCCTGTAGTGGGGTACATAGTTCAGTATCTGTACAGGTTACTTACTGACTCTCTGTATTGGTGTACATAGTTCAGTATCTGTACAGGATACTTACTGACTGCCTGTAGTAGGGTACATAGTTCAGTATCTGTACAGGTTACTTACTGACTCTCTGTAGTGGGGTACATAGTTCAGTATCTGTACAGGTTACTTATTGGCTGTCTGTAGTGGGGTACACAGTTCAGTATCTGTACAGGTTACTTACTGACTCTCTGTAGTGGGGTACATAGTTCAGTGTCTGTACAGGATACTTACTGACTCTCTGTAGTGGTGTACATAGTTCAGTATCTGTACAGGTTACTTACTGACTCTCTGTAGTGGGGTACACAGTTCAGTATCTGTACAGGTTACTTACTGACTGCCTGTAGTGGTGTACATAGTTCAGTATCTGTACAGGTTACTTACTGACTCTCTGTATTGGTGTACATAGTTCAGTATCTGTACAGGTTACTTACTGACTCTCTGTATTGGTGTACATAGTTCAGTATCTGTACAGGATACTTACTGGCTCTCTGTAGTGGTGTACACAGTTCAGTATCTGTACAGGATACTTACTGGCTGTCTGTAGTGGGGTACATAGTTCAGTATCTGTACAGGTTACTTACTGGCTCTCTGTAGTAGAGTACATAGTTCAGTATCTGTACAGGTTACTTACTGGCTGTCTGTAGTGGGGTACATAGTTCAGTGTCTGTACAGGATACTTACTGGCTCTCTGTAGTGGGGTACATAGTTCAGTATCTGTACAGGTTACTTACTGACTCTCTGTAGTGGTGTACATAGTTCAGTATCTGTACAGGTTACTTACTGACTCTCTGTAGTGGGGTACATAGTTCAGTATCTGTACAAGTTACTTACTGACTCTCTGTATTGGTGTACATAGTTCAGTATCTGTACAGGTTACTTACTGGCTCTCTGTAGTGGGGTACATAGTTCAGTATCTGTACAGGATACTTACTGGCTGCCTGTAGTGGGGTACATAGTTCAGTATCTGTACAGGTTACATACTGACTGCCTGTAGTGGGGTACATAGTTCAGTATCTGTACAGGATACTTACTGTCTGTCTGTAGTGGGGTACATAGTTCAGTATTAGGTTATTTACTGACTCTCTGTAGTGGGGTACATAGTTCAGTATCTGTACAGGTTACTTACTGTCTCTCTGTATTGGTGTACATAGTTCAATATCTGCACAGGTTACTTACTGGCTCTCTGTAGTGGGGTACATAGTTCAGTATCTGTACAGGTTACTTACTGGCTCTCTGTAGTGGGGTACATAGTTCAGTATCTGTACAGGTTACTTACTGACTCTCTGTAGTGGGGTACATAGTTCAGTATCTGTACAGGTTACTTATTGGCTGTCTGTAGTGGTGTACATAGTTCAGTGTCTGTACAGGATACTTACTGGCTCTCTGTAGTGGGGTACACAGTTCAGTATCTGTACAGGATACTTACTGGCTGTCTGTAGTGGGGTACATAGTTCAGTGTCTGTACAGGATACTTACTGGCTCTCTGTAGTGGGGTACATAGTTCAGTGTCTGTACAGGATACTTACTGGCTCTCTGTAGTGGGGTACATAGTTCAGTGTCTGTACAGGATACTTACTGGCTCTCTGTAGTGGGGTACATAGTTCAGTATCTGTACAGGTTACTTACTGACTCTCTGTAGTGGTGTACATAGTTCAGTATCTGTACAGGTTACTTACTGACTCTCTGTAGTGGGGTACATAGTTCAGTATCTGTACAAGTTACTTACTGACTCTCTGTATTGGTGTACATAGTTCAGTATCTGTACAGGTTACTTACTGGCTCTCTGTAGTGGGGTACATAGTTCAGTATCTGTACAGGATACTTACTGGCTGCCTGTAGTGGGGTACATAGTTCAGTATCTGTACAGGTTACATACTGACTGCCTGTAGTGGGGTACATAGTTCAGTATCTGTACAGGATACTTACTGTCTGTCTGTAGTGGGGTACATAGTTCAGTATTAGGTTATTTACTGACTCTCTGTAGTGGGGTACATAGTTCAGTATCTGTACAGGTTACTTACTGTCTCTCTGTATTGGTGTACATAGTTCAATATCTGCACAGGTTACTTACTGGCTCTCTGTAGTGGGGTACATAGTTCAGTATCTGTACAGGTTACTTACTGGCTCTCTGTAGTGGGGTACATAGTTCAGTATCTGTACAGGTTACTTACTGACTCTCTGTAGTGGGGTACATAGTTCAGTATCTGTACAGGTTACTTATTGGCTGTCTGTAGTGGTGTACATAGTTCAGTGTCTGTACAGGATACTTACTGGCTCTCTGTAGTGGGGTACACAGTTCAGTATCTGTACAGGATACTTACTGGCTGTCTGTAGTGGGGTACATAGTTCAGTGTCTGTACAGGATACTTACTGGCTCTCTGTAGTGGGGTACATAGTTCAGTGTCTGTACAGGATACTTACTGGCTCTCTGTAGTGGGGTACATAGTTCAGTGTCTGTACAGGATACTTACTGGCTCTCTGTAGTGGGGTACATAGTTCAGTATCTGTACAGGATACTTACTGGCTGTCTGTAGTGGGGTATGTAGTTCAGTATCTGTATTTGGGCATCCTCACTCCACATACCAAGAACAAAATGAGCACGGCAATCGGCATTAGACATCGAAGGATGAAATTCAGAGCTGAATATCTGAGCAGATCCCTGCAAAACCATGCATCTGACAAATGAGTTTCATTACACACACTGGAACCTAACACTGACAAATCCATATTTTGTGTTACACACACTGGAACCTTAGTAACCGATGAGAAATCTTACACAATATACTGGGATCAAATCTAACAACCTGACATGACTAAAGACCAGGTTGTACATTACAAAGATAAATGTCTGATTACTTAAATGATCACGATGTTGTAAAGAACATAAAGTACATCTGATCAATAATTCATGTTCAGTAGCAATAATGGCTTAACGATGTTTCATATTGTTCATCACCAATTTATTTTTACATTCAAAAACATATCTCATTAATATGCTTAAAACAATAACTAATTTACAGATTTTTTTTATCAACTCACATTTTTTGGCTGATGTTTGAACTCAACCTTACATACAGTCTCAGAAGTGAAGTTCACTGAAATGGTGATTGTATCACCTTGTGATATTTCTGCATCTATCATACCCTTCTTATCAACCTTATCCACACACAGTCTGTAAAACAATTAATTTATCTAATCATTGTGAAACATCACAACAACAACAACAACAAAAAACCAAACATAGTCAAACATCAAAACAACAAATCCAAAGTTGGTCTGAAACATCAAATCTATCTTATCTAGTCAGTCTGAAACATCAAATCTATCTTATCTCGTCAGTCTGAAACATCAAATCTATCTCATCTAGTCAGTCTGAAACATCAAATCTATCTTATCTCGTCAGTCTGAAACATCAAATCTATCTCATCTAGTCAGTCTGAAACACCAAAATTCTTATCTAGTCAGTCTGAAACATCAAATCTATCTTATCTAGTCAGTCTGAAACATCAAATCTATCTTATCTCGTCAGTCTGAAACACCAAAATTCTTATCTCGTCAGTCTGAAACATCAAATCTATCTTATCTTGTCAGTCTGAAACATCAAATCTATCTCATCTAGTCAGTCTGAAACACCAAATTTCTTATCTAGTCAGTCTGAAACATCAAATCTATCTTATCTCGTCAGTCTGAAACATCAAATCTATCTCATCTAGTCAGTCTGAAACACCAAAATTCTTATCTAGTCAGTCTGAAACATCAAATCTATCTTATCTAGTCAGTCTGAAACATCAAATCTATCTTATCTAGTCAGTCTGAAACATCAAATCTATCTTATCTAGTCAGTCTGAAACATCAAATCTATCTTATCTCGTCAGTCTGAAACATGAAAACATCAAACCTACCTTTTTTACCATCAATATTTCTATGTGAATATTTCAATGTAAAATATTTTAAGAATATTTAAATAATTCAGTTTCACTTGAGCAGTAAAATTTATTGACAGCAAGAAACTCACATGTTGGTTTCGGCATTGAAGATGATGCTTTTGCTTTCTCCTGCCTTCCATTTTGTTATGTCTGTAACATAGCCTGCCAAACCACAACAGAACTGGTTTAATTTTCCCTGTCCTGCTTCAAGGATTTTGATACTGAAGACGTTGTTTGACTTTGAGACAGCATTCTGACTCACAAAATAACCTCCTTTTTCTGAGGTCATATTACTGCAAGATAGAAAGTACATTAGGTTACACTAGGAGTTTTACTATTCAACTTTTCTACACAAGATAGTGTATCATATCTACATCATCACCCTCCTCATCATCACCCTCCTCATCACCCTCATCATCATCACCCTCACCATCATCACCTTCATCATCATCATCACCCTCATCATCATCACCCTCACCATCATCACCCTCATCATCATCATCATCATCACCCTCCTCATCACCCTCATCATCATCACCTTCATCATCATCACCCTCATCATCATCATCCTCACCATCATCACCTTCATCATCATAATCACCTTCATCATCATCATCACCTTCATCACCCTCACCATCATCAACTTCACCATCATCATCACCTTCATCATCATCATCACCTTCATCACCCTCACCATCATCACCTTCATCATCATCATCACCTTCATCATCATTATCATCACCACTGTCATTTTCAAATGGTGATCATATGATTTAATGCCCTTTTGGCATGAAAAGCAATTCACACACTGAAAGTGCTATTGTCAACAGCATTCCATCTCACTATGATAGTGCTAATGTCAACAACATTCCACCTCACTATGATAGTGCTAATGTCAACAGCATTCCACCTCACTATGATAGTGCTAATGTCAGTAGCATTCCACCTCACTATGATAGTGCTAATGTCAACAACATGCCATCACACTATGATAGTGCTAATGTCAACAGCATTCCACCTCACTATGATGGTGCTAATGTCAACAGCATTCCACCTCACTATGATAGTGCTAATGTCAGTAGCATTCCATCCCACTATGATAGTGCTAATGTCAACAACATTCCATCTCACTATGATAGTGCTAATGTCAACAGCATTCCATCCCACTATGATAGTGCTAACGTCAACAACATTCCATCACACTATGATAGTGCTAATGTCAATTGCTTTTATGTACAGATATATATGAAGTTTTATCATAAGATATATTTTTCATCTGGTTTATCTGTTTATGTGGTGATCTGTGAAAAGAGTCTGACAGTATGATAAAATTCAACAACATTTCCTTTTAGGCAGGTGAAGGACGAAGTTCTAAATACTGGTTATAATAATTTACCACCAGTACATGACAAATTATTTCAGATATCCCTGACATACATCTTGATTTAACAAGAAACAACAAAGCTGATTATACTCCCCAAAACCATATCTGCCTTATGAAGGTCAATGTAGAGGTCATATTTAATTCACCTCTAGTTTGTGAGACATAACCTGTTCCATTTGATGGTCATTTTTGCTTTTTTAACACAGTCCTAGCCATATTGTAAACTAACACAATATAGTGGACTCTGTCTAAACAGACTGTGCAATCCAGATATCTGCCTAATATGGTCAAATAATTAAGTCCTTATTCCAACAATATTATAACAATGGGCTCTCTACAAACTGGAACTCTCTACAAACCAACCAAATTATTCGGTCCCAACGGTGTCAGGTTTAGACAGATTCCAATATATATCATTTCCTATTGTTTCCTATTAAAAAAGATTTCATAACTGGGCTGATCTGATCTTTTATGAATTTGATAATTTCCTGAAATTTGATTCCCAGTAACCCTAAATTCAATAGAACGCTAGAAAGGCAAAGAACATAACAAAATAACTTTACCTAAGAACGCCATCATCATCCAGCGCACAGTCACTCAAAAAACCGCGCTCTATCTGTTTGTTTTCATACTTTTTCTTGAATGTCTGCAACACAGAATTTGAAATAATATCATTTTAACAGAGAGCATGCAACAAATAAAATTAACAAAAAACAGAATATGCATCAAGATAAATTAACACATCACAGAATATACATCAAAATAAAATTAACACATCACAGAATATACATCAAGATAAAATTAACAGATCACAGAATATACATCAAGATAAAATTAACACATCACATAATATACATCAAAATAAAATTAACACATCACAGAATATACATCAAGATAAAATTAACACATCACAGAATATACATCAAGATAAAATTAACACATCACAGAATATACATCAAGATAAAATTAACACATCACAGAATATACATCAAGATAAATTAACACATCACAGAATATACATCAAGATAAAATTAACACATCACAGAATATACATCAAAATAAAATTAACAGATCACAGAATATACATCAAGATAAAATTAACACATCACAGAATATACATCAAAATAAAATTAACACATCACAGAATATACATCAAGATAAAATTAACACATCACAGAATATACATCAAGATAAAATTAACAGATCACAGAATATACATCAAAATAAAATTAACACATCACAGAATATACATCAAAATAAATTAACACATCACAGAATATACATCAAAATAAAATTAACACATCACAGAATATACATCAAGATAAAATTAACAGATCACAGAATATACATCAAGATAAAATTAACACATCACAGAATATACATCAAGATAAATTAACACATCACAGAATATACATCAAGATAAATTAACACATCACAGAATATACATCAAGATAAAATTAACAGATCACAGAATATACATCAAAATAAAATTAACACATCACAGAATATACATCAAAATAAATTAACACATCACAGAATATACATCAAAATAAAATTAACACATCACAGAATATACATCAAGATAAAATTAACAGATCACAGAATATACATCAAGATAAAATTAACACATCACAGAATATACATCAAGATAAATTAACACATCACAGAATATACATCAAGATAAATTAACACATCACAGAATATACATCAAGATAAAATTAACAGATCACAGAATATACATCAAGATAAATTAACACATCACAGAAAATAAAATATGAATTCTGGAATTTTGTTATTATCAAGTTTTAACGTGTGGAGAAAAGGTTGTTGAATAATACACCTTTAAGTATATGCATGCAATTAAGGTTGTGATTTCTCTCTGTACTATCAGCTAAGGTCAAATACATGGTTTTTATTTAAAGTAATTCTGCTTCATTCTCAGAGAACTCTGCATACATATTGTTCCTATCATAAGTAATTCTGTTTCATTCCTTCCAAACTCTAGATCTGTAGACTTATTGTTTCAATACAAATATACAATTATCATAATGAATCACATTGTACACATGTAGTAATAAAATTCTCCAGTCTCAGGAACTTACCAGAGGCTGCTCGACCATATGAGTGAGAGACACCTTGATTGTACCACCCTCCCCTAAAGCTGCCACCAAGGGAAACATGGTTGATTGTGCCTGAGCATTTTTGTTCAGAAGATCACCTTTATACTGAAATAAAATATTTTGCATGTATAGATAACTGTAAGGTATCTAAATTTCATATACATGTGTTTTAAGACTGTTTCAGAAATCA